TTTTTATATAGACCTGCTTATACCTGGACACAAGACAATTTTTTATATAGACCTGCTTATACCTGGACACAAGACAATTTTTTATGTAGACCTGCTTATACCTGGACACAAGACAATTTTTTATATAGACCTGCTTATACCTGGACACAATTTTTTATATAGACCTGCTTATACCTGGACACAATTTTTATATAGACCTGCTTATACCTGGACACAAGACAATTTTTTATATAGACCTGCTTATACCTGGACACAAGACAATTTTTTATATAGACCTGCTTATACCTGGACACAAGACAATTTTTTATATAGACCTGCTTATACCTGGACACAAGACAATTTTTTATATAGACCTGCTTATACCTGGACACAATTTTTTATATAGACCTGCTTATACCTGGACACAATTTTTATATAGACCTGCTTATACCTGGACACAATTTTTTATATAGACCTGGTTATACCTGGACACAAGACAATTTTTTATATAGACCTGCTTATACCTGGACACAATTTTTATATAGACCTGCTTATACCTGGACACAATTTTTATATAGACCTGCTTATACCTGGACACAAGACAATTTTTTATATAGACCTGCTTATACCTGGACACAATTTTTTATATAGACCTGCTTATACCTGGAAACAAGACAATTTTTATATAGACCTGCTTATACCTGGAAATAATTTTTTATATAGACCTGCTTATACCTGGACACAATTTTTTTATATAGACCTGCTTATACCTGGACACAAGACAATTTTTTATATAGACCTGCTTATACCTGGACACAAGACAATTTTTTATATAGACCTGCGTATACCTGGACACAATTTTTTATATAGACCTGCTTATACCTGGACACAAGACAATTTTTTATATAGACCTGCTTATACCTGGACACAAGACAATTTTTTTATATAGACCTGCTTATACCTGGACACAAGATAATTTTTTATATAGACCTGCTTATACCTGGACACAAGATAATTTTTTATATAGACCTGCTTATACCTGGACACAAGACAATTTTTTATATAGACCTGCTTATACCTGGACACAATTTTTTATATAGACCTGCTTATACCTGGACACAATTTTTTATATAGACCTGCTTATACCTGGACACTTTTTTATATAGACCTGCTTATACCTGGACACAAGATAATTTTTTATATAGACCTGCTTATACCTGGACACAATTTTTTATATAGACCTGCTTATACCTGGACACAATTTTTTATATAGACCTGCTTATACCTGGACACAATTTTTTATATAGACCTGCTTATACCTGGACACAATTTTTTATATAGACCTGCTTATACCTGGACACAAGACAATTTTTATATAGACCTGCTTATACCTGGACACAAGACAATTTTTTATATAGACCTGCTTATACCTGGACACAAGACAATTTTTTATATAGACCTGCTTATACCTGGACACAAGACAATTTTTTATATAGACCTGCTTATACCTGGACACAAGACAATTTTTTATATAGACCTGCTTATACCTGGACACAAGACAATTTTTTATATAGACCTGCTTATACCTGGACACAAGACAATTTTTTATATAGACCTGCTTATACCTGGACACAAGACAATTTTTTATATAGACCTGCTTATACCTGGACACAATTTTTTATATAGACCTGCTTATACCTGGACACAATTTTTATATAGACCTGCTTATACCTGGACACAAGACAATTTTTTATATAGACCTGCTTATACCTGGACACAAGACAATTTTTTATATAGACCTGCTTATACCTGGACACAAGACAATTTTTTATATAGACCTGCTTATACCTGGACACAAGACAATTTTTTATATAGACCTGCTTATACCTGGACACAATTTTTTATATAGACCTGCTTATACCTGGACACAATTTTTATATAGACCTGCTTATACCTGGACACAAGACAATTTTTTATATAGACCTGCTTATACCTGGACACAAGACAATTTTTTATATAGACCTGCTTATACCTGGACACAAGACAATTTTTTATATAGACCTGCTTATACCTGGACACAATTTTTTATATAGACCTGCTTATACCTGGACACAAGACAATTTTTTATATAGACCTGCTTATACCTGGACACAATTTTTATATAGACCTGCTTATACCTGGACACAAGACAATTTTTTATATAGACCTGCTTATACCTGGACACAAGACAATTTTTTATATAGACCTGCTTATACCTGGACACAAGACAATTTTTTATATAGACCTGCTTATACCTGGACACAAGACAATTTTTTATATAGACCTGCTTATACCTGGACACAATTTTTTATATAGACCTGCTTATACCTGGACACAATTTTTATATAGACCTGCTTATACCTGGACACAAGACAATTTTTTATATAGACCTGCTTATACCTGGACACAAGACAATTTTTTATATAGACCTGCTTATACCTGGACACAAGACAATTTTTTATATAGACCTGCTTATACCTGGACACAAGACAATTTTTTATATAGACCTGCTTATACCTGGACACAATTTTTTATATAGACCTGCTTATACCTGGACACAATTTTTATATAGACCTGCTTATACCTGGACACAATTTTTTATATAGACCTGGTTATACCTGGACACAAGACAATTTTTTATATAGACCTGCTTATACCTGGACACAATTTTTATATAGACCTGCTTATACCTGGACACAATTTTTATATAGACCTGCTTATACCTGGACACAAGACAATTTTTTATATAGACCTGCTTATACCTGGACACAAGACAATTTTTTATATAGACCTGCTTATACCTGGACACAAGACAATTTTTTATATAGACCTGCTTATACCTGGACACAATTTTTATATAGACCTGCTTATACCTGGACACTTTTTTATATAGACCTGCTTATACCTGGACACAAGACAATTTTTTATATAGACCTGCTTATACCTGGACACAATTTTTTATATAGACCTGCTTATACCTGGAAACAAGACAATTTTTATATAGACCTGCTTATACCTGGAAATAATTTTTTATATAGACCTGCTTATACCTGGACACAATTTTTTTATATAGACCTGCTTATACCTGGACACAAGACAATTTTTTATATAGACCTGCTTATACCTGGACACAAGACAATTTTTTATATAGACCTGCGTATACCTGGACACAATTTTTTATATAGACCTGCTTATACCTGGACACAAGACAATTTTTTATATAGACCTGCGTATACCTGGACACAATTTTTTATATAGACCTGCTTATACCTGGACACAAGACAATTTTTTTATATAGACCTGCTTATACCTGGACACAAGATAATTTTTTATATAGACCTGCTTATACCTGGACACAATTTTTATATAGACCTGCTTATACCTGGACACAAGACAATTTTTTATATAGACCTGCTTATACCTGGACACAATTTTTTATATAGACCTGGTTATACCTGGACACAATTTTTATATAGACCTGCTTATACCTGGACACAATTTTTATATAGACCTGCTTATACCTGGACACAAGACAATTTTTTATATAGACCTGCTTATACCTGGACACAATTTTTATATAGACCTGCTTATACCTGGACACAAGACAATTTTTTATATAGACCTGCTTATACCTGGACACAAGACAATTTTTTTATATAGACCTGCTTATACCTGGACACAAGATAATTTTTTATATAACATAAAGTTCTGTGTTTACAATCCCATAAAGTTCTTTATTTACAATCCCATAAAGTTCTTTATTTACAATCCCATAAAGTTCTTTATTTACAATCCCATAGAGTTCTGTGTTTACAATCCCATAAAGTTCTCTTTACAATCCTATAAAGTTCTTTATTTACAATCCCATAAAGTTCTTTGTTTACAATCCCATAAAGTTCTTTATTTACAATCCCATAAAGTTCTTTATTTACAATCCCCTTAAGTTCTTCAGGAGTGACAAAAATTGTGTTTGCCCTTTGAAATTTACCAATAAAAAGGAGAAAATGGATTATTTTCTTTAAATATATAATAATACACCATTATTTAAATGACTATAAAGAAAAGTGTGGGTCTCTTCCTAAATATTAGTAAATGTATCAAATAGATAATATAGTGACCCACACTTTTCTTTTTAGTTATATAGATAGTAGTGTATTTTTATATATTTTAAGAAAATCATTTATTTTATCTTTTAAAGTTAATAATTATATAAAAGCTTGTTAATAATAATTAAACAGTTTTTAATTAATTTTTTTTTTCACTACTTATAAAACTTTTTAATACAATAGTTGCATGACTAAAACCTGTTGCACACCAGATGAGGTTGAAAAATGTGCGTATAATCAAGCGAAAATTAGTAATTTATATTGGCAACTTTAATTAATAAAAAATATTAATTAATCATTCATCTAAGTCAAATTTGATGTCAAAGTGCATTGTCATGGGGTCTTGACCCCCGTGCCAAGTTTGAAACTAATCGGTCAGTTACAAAGAGATCAAAATTGTGCCCTGCATTTTCTATCCATGAGAAAACACTGCAGATAGACAGACTGACAGTAAGTTAAATGGAAGTTTATAAAAATTACATTGACTTTCACTCATTTAAGTGTGTAATATGGGAGAAAAAAGGAAGGAAAGAATACATGAATCTTCTACTAGCCCTAGCCCTAAAATTAAATTGAGTACAGGTTAGAATGGAAATATAATCTACTGGGGGTGGGGGGGGGGGGGGGGGGGTAAATATACTGAGGGGTAATCAAAAGGAAGGTGTTGATTGAGGGTAATATGCTACCCCTTTGGGCAAATGGACAGGTGAGTTAGTTAAGCCTGACCTGGTAATGCCATTGGGTTAGGGTTAGTGTCAGCACAAGTTAAGCCTGACCTGGTAATGCCATTGGGTTAGGGTTAGTGTCAGCACAAGTTAAGCCTGACCTGGTAATGCCATTGGGTTAGGGTTAGTGTCAGCACAAGTTAAGCCTGACCTGGTAATGCCATTGGCTGTAGAAAGGGCAGTCTGATTGCTGGCAGGTAATGAATTTCTTCTTTACACTTTGAGACTGGAGGTGTTCCCAGTTTAGAGTCCACACTAGATGAGCGATTGAATGTGCTCATACTGCTGATACGACGTGATGCTGGGCTCAGTGGAGAACTGCTAGTCTCTACATGATGGGAAGTAAAGGGAAACAATAAACATATTCTACCAGATTCTATTTTAAAAAGTTTAAGTAATTAAAAATAGATTAAAAATCATGTCTTTATTCCGAGTTGCCATCCCCAGTAGTGTTATATAAGAATCTTCCAGAAAGTTTAGGGGAGATCACTCCCTTTTTTTTTTGCTATGCATTTTGTGCTATTTTGTCCTCTTTTTACTTTCTCGTATATACGTAGTATAGAGAAAGTATTGTAATCGTGCAAAAAAAAAAAAAATCGAGATTTTTACAAATCTCGACGTTTTACACCTCACTGATACGGAAAAACATAATTTTGCAATCTTGTCCGTATGTCTGTGTGTGTGTCTGTGTGTCTGTGTGTCCGTGTGTAAACACGATAACTTGAGTACCGTTACAGCTAGGTTGATGAAATTTCATATATAAGTATTATATCAAAATCGTAGATCCGTATCAACTTTTGAGCGATTTCCGACAACCGGAAGTGGTACTTTTTCTACTTTGAATTTTTCAAAAGCCTATAACTTGAGTACTATTTCAGATAGATACATGAAATTTCACATGTAAGTAAAAGATGTAATTCTCTACCTTCTGTTAAATTTTGAGTAATTTCCGTTGACCGGAAGTAGTAATTTGCGCTACTTCCGATTTCTCAAAAAACTAATGTAAATTTTAAAAGTACTAATAATATTGCGCACTATTATGCGCTTTTTTATTTCGCGTTCACTTGGTGTGCAATTAATTTGTCTACGAGATTTTATTCTATTTTTAAAACTTTAAGTATTTAAAATGGATTAAAAATCATGTCTATAGCCCGAGTTCCCATCCCCTGTTATTTTATATAAAAATATTCGAGAAAGTTTAGGGGAGATCACTCCCGGTTTATTTTTATTGTATAGGAAAATAAGTAACAAAGTGACCAAATACTTCTTTACATTTGAATACACTAGAAGCTCTTTAACTCCTATGGGTATACTAAATTTGTATTCAAAGTATTATAATTTAACATATTCCATTGCAAAATATACAACATTTAATGATCAAACTGATTTATTCTCGCCATTAATCAGATTAATGGCGAGAATTAATTGTTTCAAAATGTTCCGCTGATGAAGAGTGTCAAAATGTGTCAATGCATCCAGCTAACCAGTTCTATTTATCTGTTGCTCGTTTCTTATAGCTTATGGTTTCAATCATTCATCGTCATCTCCTTTAATTTTTTTAACTTACTTTATTTACAATGGATTAATAAACTTCAAACTTCCATGTTTGTTCTTTATATTTATAGCTGAGAAACTTCTGTCAGCAATAAAAAAATTGCTGGTATCCCTCCCCCCAAACAAAACACGGTTTAGGGGCCACAGTGAGGTTATGGTAGTCTAGAATTAGTCCGCCTGTTTAATACGTAATAGCAAGAATTGTGATGCTACTTTTATTTACCCCCCCCCCCCCCCTACAGCCAGCCAAGCAATAACAAATATGAGCTTAGGGTCACAGTGAGTTCACACAAGTGTCGTAGTTAAAAGGAGGGGCTGGTTAGACTTCAAAAACAGTTTAACTGAAGGGGGATTAGAAGTACAGAAGTTTGTATCTGACCGATTCAAGAATGTCGGTGACATCATCAAAATATTAAACAAGACTGCTTTACATGCGATCCTAGTATTAGTTAAGAAATTGTATTTAGATCACTACAACTTAACTACACTGCTAGCTCATGATAAAGTAACATTAAGCCTTGGAAAAAAAGGTCGCAGTGACCGTCATGTCAGCATGATGTCAGGTATACAAAGGCCAGCAATGGTCAGAGACCCATTTATAAATGTTAGTTTAGTCCCGCAAAATGGTTTCCTGCTAAAAATTACTGTATACTGTATTCGAGCTTTAAATTTTATACCCATCAAATTCTCTATTTAGATTCTTAATTTCTATCATGTTTAGTAAAAGTAGCGACGTAATATTAATGACGTCACTAGATTTATGCATAGCTTACACAGCAGTGGGTATGGTACCATCTATGCATGGACGAATGACGAAAAGGTCCATAAGAGATAAAAATGCTCCGGAGGCTCTTTGATAAAAAAGTTTTTCAAAACAGTCTTGATTCTTTTTTTTAACTTTTTAACTCCAAGTTTGCTAATCCAGAAAGTGAAAAAATATGGTACTTGAATCCAGGAATCCGGGGTAGCCCGGAAAAGTGGCACCCCTGCAAAAGTCAGACTCCCCCCTAAAATGACGTCACACCTCAGCCAACAGCCATCTCCCCCCCCCTGCCACCTACCCCACATCCTCAAAATTGAATTAGAAATGTGCTTTCTAAAAAAATTCTGAAATTCGTAGAAATTCTGAATCTTGGCCTAAATCTACATTTCATTTTAGTCTAACACAGTCAGACCTAGTCATATATTTCATTTTAGTCTAACAGTCAGACCTAGCGCAATCATTTTAGTCTAACACAGTCAGACCTAGTCATATATTTCATTTTAGTCTAACAGTCAGACCTAGCCATACATTTCATTTTAGTCTAACACAGTCAGACCTAGCTATACATTTCATTTTAGTCTAACACAGTCAGACCTAGTCATATATTTCATTTTAGTCTAACAGTCAGACCTAGCCATACATTTCATTTAAGTCTAACACAGTCAGACCTAGCCATACATTTCATTTTAGTCTAACACAGTCAGACCTAGCCATACATTTCATTTTAGTCTAACACAGTCAGACCTAGCCATACATTTCATTTTAGTCTAACACAGTCAGACCTAGTCATATATTTCATTTTAGTCTAACAGTCAGACCTAGCCATACATTTCATTTTAGTCTAACACAGTCAGACCTAGCCATACATTTCATTTTAGTCTAACACAGTCAGACCTAGCCATACATTTCATTTTAGTCTAACACAGTCAGACCTAGCCATTTTAGTCTAACACAGTCAGACCTAGCCATTTTAGTCTAACAGTCAGACCTAGCCATACATTTCATTTTAGTCTAACACAGTCAGACCTAGTCATATATTTCATTTTAGTCTAACAGTCAGACCTAGCCATACATTTCATTTTAGTCTAACACAGTCAGACCTAGCCATACATTTCATTTTAGTCTAACACAGTCAGACCTAGCCATACATTTCATTTTAGTCTAACACAGTCAGACCTAGCCATACATTTCATTTTAGTCTAACACAGTCAGACCTAGCCATACATTTCATTTTAGTCTAACACAGTCAGACCTAGCCATTTTAGTCTAACACAATCAGACCTAGCCATTTTAGTCTAACACAGTCAGACCTAGCCATTTTAGTCTAACACAGTCAGACCTAGCCATACATTTCATTTTAGTCTAACAATCAGACCTAACACAATCAGACCTAGCCATTTTAGTCTAACACAATCAGACCTAGCCATTTTAGTCTAACACAGTCAGACCTAGCCATTTTAGTCTAACACAATCAGACCTAGCCATTTTAGTCTAACACAATCAGACCTAGCCATTTTAGTCTAACACAATCAGACCTAGCCATTTTAGTCTAACAATCAGACCTAACACAGTCAGACCTAGCCATTTTAGTCTAACACAATCAGACCTAGCCATTTTAGTCTAACACAGTCAGACCTAGCCATTTTAGTCTAACACAGTCAGACCTAGCCATTTTAGTCTAACACAGTCAGACTTAGCCATTTTAGTCTAACACAGTCAGACCTAGCCATTTTAGTCTAACAGTCAGACCTAGCCATTTTAGTCTAACACAGTCAGACCTAGCCATTTTAGTCTAACAGTCAGACCTAGCCATTTTAGTCTAACAGTCAGACCTAGCCATACATTTCATTTTAGTCTAACAATCAGACCTAGCCATTTTAGTCTAACACAGTCAGACCTAGTCATTTTAGTCTAACAGTCAGACCTAGCCATTTTAGTCTAACAGTCAGACCTAGTCATATATTTCATTTTAGTCTAACAGTCAGACCTAGTCATATATTTCATTTTAGTCTAACAGTCAGACCTAGTCATATATTTCATTTTAGTCTAACACAGTCAGACCTAGTCATATATTTCATTTTAGTCTAACACAGTCAGACCTAGCCATTTTAGTCTAACACAATCAGACCTAGCCATTTTAGTCTAACACAGTCAGACCTAGCCATACATTTCATTTTAGTCTAACAATCAGACCTAACACAGTCAGACCTAGCCATTTTAGTCTAACACAATCAGACCTAGCCATTTTAGTCTAACACAGTCAGACCTAGCCATTTTAGTCTAACACAGTCAGACCTAGCCATTTTAGTCTAACACAGTCAGACTTAGCCATTTTAGTCTAACACAGTCAGACCTAGCCATTTTAGTCTAACACAGTCAGACTTAGCCATTTTAGTCTAACACAGTCAGACCTAGCCATTTTAGTCTAACAGTCAGACCTAGCCATTTTAGTCTAACAGTCAGACCTAGCCATTTTAGTCTAACAGTCAGACCTAGCGCAATCGACAAAAAAAAAATGCAGCTATTTGAGTGTCCGTTTGACTTAAGTACTGTAAAACTCCATTACTTGACTTAAGTACTGTAAAACTCCATTACTTGACTTAAGTACTGTAAAACTCCATTACTTGACTTAAGTACTGTAAAACTCCATTACTTGACTTAAGTACTGTAAAACTCCATTACTTGACTTAAGTACTGTAAAACTCCATTACTTGACTTAAGTACTGTAAAACTCCATTACTTGACTTAAGTACTGTAAAACTCCATTACTTGACTTAAGTACTGTAAAACTCCATTACTTGACTTAAGTACTGTAAAACTCCATTACTTGACTTAAGTACTGTAAAACTCCATTACTTGACTTAAGTACTGTAAAACTCCATTACTTGACTTAAGTACTGTAAAACTCCATTACTTGACTTAAGTACTGTAATACTCCATTACTTGACTTAAGTACTGTAAAACTCCATTACAATAGGAATATATAGAATTTTCCTAATTTTTAAAACTTTGTAAAAATGGGCAAATGTCAAAAATTGGTGATAAATTTAGAAAAAAAAAATGAAATCAGCAAGGGATTTAGACCTGAAACAGAAAAATGGGATTTCTCCTAATAATCAGAAAAGTCATATCCCTGTATTTTGTTTTTTTTGCCTTTAGGTCACCCCCTAAATGGTGTCACCAGGTGCGGTCTGCACCCCCAACACCCACCCCCCCCCCCTCTCGCTAAGCAGAGATGTAAGGTCAGTCAGTGTGGCAAACATACCATAAGATTCCAGACCAGTGCTGGAAACTGGAATGATGTCCTCAGTAAGGTCAGTCAGTGTGGCAAACATACCAGAAGATTCCAGACCAGTGCTGGAAACTGGAATGATGTCCTCAGTAAGGTCAGTCAGTGGGGCAAACATACCATAAGATTCCAGACCAGTGCTGGAAACTGGAATGATGTCCTCAGTAAGGTCAGTCAGTGGGGCAAACATACCATAAGATTCCAGACCAGTGCTGGAAACTGGAATGATGTCCTCAGTAAGGTCAGTCAGTGGGGCAAACATACCAGAAGATTCCAGACCAGTGCTGGAAACTGGAATGATGTCCTCAGTAAGGTCAGTCAGTGGGGCAAACATACCATAAGATTCCAGACCAGTGCTGGAAACTGGAATGATGTCCTCAGTAAGGTTAGTCAGTGTGGCAAACATACCATAAGATTCCAGACCAGTGCTGGAAACTGGAATGATGTCCTCAGTAAGGTCAGTCAGTGTGGCAAACATACCATAAGATTCCAGACCAGTGCTGGAGACTGGAATGATGTCCTCAGAGAAAACAGAAAAACTTGGTGCTGAACGCGAGGCTTCATTGGCTTTAATCATGGAGGTCATAGGAATCTTCTCAAACTCAATTGTCTGGGCATTTTGTTCATCAACAGCTGGAAAAAAAACACCGGCATTTTTTTCAGGCAATATTAATGCAAGAAAATGGTTAGCTAGTTCTTGAAGAAAATGTTTTTAAATTTGAAGCATCAAATTTTTTTTAATGACAGGTACAACTTGAGATAACATTTAGTACTAGCTCTGTATGCTCAATAATTTGTCAGACAGCTTTTTTTAAACTGTTAGTGTTAGTTAGCCTACCTCGCTCTGTATGCTCAATAATTTGTCAGACAGCTTTTTTTAAACTGTTAGTGTTAGTTAGCCTACCTCGCTCTGTATGCTCAATAATTTGTCAGACAGCTTTTTTAAACTGTTAGTGTTAGTTAGCCTACCTCGCTCTGTATGCTCAATAATTTGTCAGACAGCTTTTTTAAACTGTTAGTGTTAGTTAGCCTACCTCGCTCTGTATGCTCAATAATTTGTCAGACAGCTTTTTTAAACTGTTAGTGTTAGTTAGCCTACCTCGCTCTGTATGCTCAATAATTTGTCAGACAGCTTTTTTTAAACTGTTAGTGTTAGTTAGCCTACCTCGCTCTGTATGCTCAATAATTTGTCAGACAGCTTTTTTAAACTGTTAGTGTTAGTTAGCCTACCTCGCTCTGTATGCTCAATAATTTGTCAGACAGCTTTTTTAAACTGTTAGTGTTAGTTAGCCTACCTCGCTCTGTATGCTCAATAATTTGTCAGACAGCTTTTTTTAAACTGTTAGTGTTAGTTAGCCTACCTCGCTCTGTATGCTCAATAATTTGTCAGACAGCTTTTTTTAAACTGTTAGTGTTAGTTAGCCTACCTCGCTCTGTATGCTCAATAATTTGTCAGACAGCTTTTTTTAAACTGTTAGTGTTAGTTAGCCTACCTCGCTCTGTATGCTCAATAATTTGTCAGACAGCTTTTTTTAAACTGTTAGTGTTAGTTAGCCTACCTCGCTCTGTATGCTCAATAATTTGTCAGACAGCTTTTTTTAAACTGTTAGTGTTAGTTAGCCTACCTCGCTCTGTATGCTCAATAATTTGTCAGACAGCTTTTTTTAAACTGTTAGTGTTAGTTAGCCTACCTCGCTCTGTATGCTCAATAATTTGTCGCACAGCTTTTTTTAAACTATTAGCTCTTGACATTAAAGCTTCTCTAGACTTGAAGACTTGCTGCAAAAAAAATTATTGCATTAGGATAGATAACAAAACAGGCGTTTCAACTTAAATAAACAAGGAAAACATAAATTAAACAGTCTATATTATAATAAATTGACCATGTTTGTCTTATGTCTCAGGTACATAGAGCACAAGTTGACCATGTTTATGTCTCAGGTACATAGAGCACAAGTTGACCATGTTTATGTCTCAGGTACATAGAGCACAAGTTGACCATGTTTATGTCTCAGGTACATAGAGCACAAGTTGACCATGTTTATGTCTCAGGTACATAGAGCACAAGTTGACCATGTTTATGTCTCAGGTACATAGAGCACAAGTTGACCATGTTTGTCTTATGTCTCAGGTACATAGAGCACAAGTTGACCATGTTTATGTCTCAGGTACATAGAGCACAAGTTGACCATGTTTGTCTTATGTCTCAGGTACATAGAGCACAAGTTGACCATGTTTATGTCTCAGGTACATAGAGCACAAGTTGACCATGTTTGTCTTATGTCTCAGGTACATAGAGCACAAGTTGACCATGTTTATGTCTCAGGTCTATCTAATTCAGGTATAATTAACATCTATCTAGGTGTGAATCCTAGACGAGCTTTTCTATAGTAGATTAAGACCTACATCATGTACGCTTAATCTAAAGACATCAACGATTAAATACTAATTGATGACCTACTAATTTGGCAGGAGATGGAAGATAAGATTCCTTGTTGAGAAAAATCTCTCTCTCACAGGTAGAAATAGAGCTGTCTTCTATGATCTAGATCAAAGGAAACAATGGGCATCTGCATATCTATGTATAATGCATAAAGCTAGACTCATGTACACATCAGTAATGTAAGCATAAAGCTAGACTCATGTACACATCAGTAATGTAAGCATAAAGCTAGACTCATGTACACATCACTAATGTAAGCCTACAGCTAGACTCATGTACACATCACTAATGTAAGCCTAAAGCTAGACTCATGTACACATCAGTAATGTAAGCATAAAGCTAGACTCATGTACACATCAGTAATGTAAGCATAAAGCTAGACTCATGTTCACATCAGTAATGTAAGCATAAAGCTAGACTCATGTACACATCAGTAATGTAAGCATAAAGCTAGAGTCATGTACACATCAGTAATGTAAGCATAAAGCTAGACTCATGTACACATCAGTAATGTAAGCATAAAGCTAGACTCATGTACACATCAGTAATGTAAGCATAAAGCTAGACTCATGTACACATCAGTAATGTAAGCATAAAGCTAGACTCATGTACACATCAGTAATGTAAGCATAAAGCTAGACTCATGTTCACATCAGTAATGTAAGCATAAAGCTAGACTCATGTACACATCAGTAATGTAAGCATAAAGCTAGACTCATGTACACATCAGTAATGTAAGCATAAAGCTAGAGTCATGTACACATCACTAATGTAAGCATAAAGCTAGACTCATGTACACATCACTAATGTAAGCATATAGCTAGACTCATGTACACATCAGTAATGTAAGCATAAAGCTAGACTCATGCACACATCACTAATGTAAGCATAAAGCTAGACTCATGTACACATCACTAATGTAAGCATAAAGCTAGACTCATGTACACATCAGTAATGTAAGCTTAAAGCTAGACTCATGTACACATCAGTAATGTAAGCCTAAAGCTAGACTCATGTACACATCAGTAATGTAAGCCTAAAGCTAGACTCATGTACACATCACTAATGTAAGCATAAAGCTAGAGCCATGTACACATCACTAATGTAAGCCTAAAGCTAGACTCATGTACACATCACTAATGTAAGCATAAAGCTAGACTCATGTACACATCAATAATGTAAGCATAAAGCTAAACTCATGTACACATCACTAATGTAAGCATATAGCTAGACTCATGTACACATCACTAATGTAAGCATAAAGCTAGACTCATATACACATCACTAATGTAAGCATAAAGCTAGAGTCATGTACACATCACTAATGTAAGTATATAGCTAGACTCATGTACACATCACTAATGTAAGCATAAAGCTAGACTCATGTACACATCAGTAATGTAAGCATAAAGCTAGACTCATGTACACATCACTAATGTAAGCATAAAGCTAGACTCATGTACACATCACTAATGTAAGCATATAGCTAGACTCATGTACACATCACTAATGTAAGCATAAAGCTAGACTCATGTACACATCACTAATGTAAGCATAAAGCTAGACTCATGTACACATCAGTAATGTAAGCTTAAAGCTAGACTCATGTACACATCACTAATGTAAGCATAAAGCTAGACTCATGTACACATCAGTAATGTAAGCCTAAAGCTAGACTCATGTACACATCACTAATGTAAGCATAAAGCTAGACTCATGTACACATCACTAATGTAAGCATAAAACTAGACTTATGTACACATCACTAATGTAAGCATAAAGCTAGACTCATGTACACATCACAATGTAAGCATATAGCTAGACTCATGTACACATCAGTAATGTAAGCCTTAAAAAATCTACAAATAAATGAACTGGTGACTCTACTAGAACTAGTGACTCCTGGTGACTAAAAGGACTGGTGACTCTACAACTCTACATGGATTACCATTTAACCTTTGATTCTTTAGCTTCCTTAGCTAGTGTGTCTAAAAAATTCTAAATGGACTACCATTTAACCTTTGATTCTTTAGCTTCCTTAGCTAGTGTGTCTAAAAGATTCTAAATGGACTACCATATAACCTTTGATTCTTTAGCTTCCTTAGCTAGTGTGTCTAGAAGACTCTGTAGTTTCTCATTCAACACCTGGAACTGGGGTGCCCTGTTCTCAGCCTCCTTGTCCCCATCCCCATCTTCCTTGCTAACTTTAGCCACAAAAGCTTTCACTGTTTCACATAAGATTCTAGAACAAGATTTGACACATCTACATATTGACATAAGAAATCATCAAACTAATTATGCATATCAAATTAATCACTAATGTGATTGATTGGTCATGTGATTAAGCAGCTCCCTAAGCATCCAAGTACCAGGATGTAATGAGCAAGTGTCTGTCAACCACCCCCCACCTTAGCATCCAAGTACCAGGATGTAATGAGCAAGTGTCTGTCAACCCCCCCCCCCCCCACCTTAGCATCCAAACACCAGGATGTAATGAGCAAGTGTCTGTCAACCCCCCCCCCCCCCACCTCACCTTAGCATCCAAGTACCAGGATGTAATGAGCAAGTGTCTGTCAACCCCCCCCCCCCCCCACCCCACCTTAGCATCCAAGTACCAGGATGTAATGAGCAAGTGTCTGTCAACCCCCACCCACCTTAGCATCCAAGTACCAGGATGTAATGAGCAAGTGTCTGTCAACCCCCCACCCACCCCACCTAGCATCTTAGTACTAGGATGTAATGAGCAAGTGTCTGTCAACCCCTCCCCACCTTAGCATCCAAGTACCAGGATGTAATGAGCAAGTGTCTGTCAAACCCCCCCCCCCCCCCCACCTTAGCATCCAAGTACCAGGATGTAATGAGCAAGTGTCTGTCAACCCCCCACCTTAGCATCCAAGTACCAGGATGTAATGAGCAAGTGTCTGTCAAACCCCCCCCCCCCCCCCCCCACCTTAGCATCCAAGTACCAGGATGTAATGAGCAAGTGTCTGTCAACCCCCCACCTTAGCATCCAAGTACCAGGATGTAATGAGCAAGTGTCTGTCAACCCCCCCCCACCCCCTCCTTGTCTAGAGCTATTTCCCATCTGATTAGAAATTAATTACTTGGCTGATTTAATCACTACTTGGTGATCTTCAGAATGTAAAATTTTGGTCAAATGGTTGGCCATACTATCCTCATATTGTGAAATTGCATCAATCTGAAAAAAAAAATTAAAATTTTGCCCAAATGGTTCACTATACTAAATTTATAATGTAAAATAGCATCAATTTGAAAATTAAGTGCAATTTTTGTGAAGTGGGTTAGGGTTGAGAGTATGTAAGTGTTATTAAATTTCAAAATGGATTTAAAATAAACTTGGTTTATTAGTTAAAAAATTAAGAATGTAATTTGTGGCAATTTTATCGGTTAGTGTATTTGTAATATAATCATTTGAGTCAATGTCCGTAATAGCAAGTGTGGCAAATGGTTTCTGTGGCTAGTGGTTTCTGAAGATTTGTGGCAAGTGGTTTCTGAAGATGTGTGGCAAGTGGTTTCTGAAGATGTGTGGCAAGTGGTTTCTGAGTTTGTATGGTGAGTGGTTTCTGAATATGTGTGGCAAGTGGTTTCTGAGTTTGTGTGGCAAGTGGTTTCTGAAGATGTGTGGCAAGTGGTTTCTGAGTTTGTGTGGTGAGTGGTTTCTGAAGATGTGTGGCAAGTGGTTTCTGAGTTTGTGTGGCAAGTGGTTTCTTAAGATGTGTGGCAAAGTGGTTTCTGAGTTTGTGTGGCAAGTGGTTTCTGAAGATGTGTGGCAAGTGGTTTCTGAGTTTGTGTGGTGAGTGGTTTCTGAAGATGTGTGGCAAGTGGTTTCTGAGTTTGTGTGGTGAGTGGTTTCTGAAGATGTGTGGCAAAGTGGTTTCTGAGTTTGTGTGGTGAGTGGTTTCTGAAGATGTGTGGCAAGTGGTTTCTGAAGATGTGTGGCAAAGTGGTTTCTGAATTTGTGTGGCTAGTGGTTTCTGAAGATGTGTGGCAAGTGGTTTCTGAAGATGTGTGGCAAGTGGTTTCTGAAGATGTGTGGCAAGTGGTTTCTGAGTTTGTGTGGCTAGTGGTTTCTGAAGATTTGTGGCAAGTGGTTTCTGAAGATGTGTGGCAAGTGGTTTCTCAGTTTGTGTGGCAAGTGGTTTCTCAGTTTGTGTGGCAAGTGGTTTCTCAGTTTGTGTGGCAAGGGGTTTCTGAGGATGTGTGGCAAGGGGTTTCTGAGGATGTGTGGCAAGTGGTTTCTGAAGGTGGTTAAGGTTGTGGTGAGGGTTAGGGTTTATGTTTGTGGTTAAGGTTGTGGTGAGGGTTAGGGTTTATGTTTGTGGTTAAGGTTGTGGTTAGGGTTTATGTTTGTGGTTAAGGTTGTGGTGAGGGTTAGGGTTTATGTTTGTGGTTAAGGTTGTGGTGAGGGTTAGGGTTTATGTTTGTGGTTAAGGTTGTGGTTAGGGTTTATGTTTGTGGTTAAGGTTGTGGTGAGGGTTAGGGTTTATGTTTGTGGTTAAGGTTGTGGTGAAGGTTTATGTTTGTGGTTAAGGTTGTGGTGAGGGTTAGGGTTTATGTTTGTGGTTAAGGTTGTGGTCAGGGTTAGGGTTTATGTTTGTGTTTCCATGATTGTTTTTTTTTTAGATGTAGAAGTGCAGGGGAGGGGATAGAAGATTTATGTCTATATTTCTATGTCTTTGGTTGTGATTGGCTGTCGCTAGGGTTAGGTTTAAAGTTAGGCTTAGGGTTATATATATATTTTTTTTTTTGCATATAGACATTAATTGGAATTCAATATATTACCCAACCCTAGGCAGCATCGGGAATGTGATGCTGAATAAACACACAAGTTACAGTTTTTTTGCAGATAAGTTTTTCACAAAAGCCAGTGCTGAGCCTGGCTGTGACAGCTAGTATGGCATAAAAAAATTGATAGTAGCTTAACACTAAGTAAATTAGAGTCCATTAATTTAATTAGTTTATTTAATTAGTTTATTTAATTAGTTTAGTTTTTAACAAGCTTTCTTTCGGCTCAAACTGTTACTCACTTTTTTGGGTTACCATGTCTGTGTGACTTAATTTTTTTTGGGTTACCATGTCTGTGTGACTCAATTTTTTTGGGTTACTTGATTGGGTCACAGATCAGATAAAGTGTGTCTGTGACTCACTTGATTAGGTCACAGATCAGATGTGTCTGTGACTCACTTGATTGGGTCACAGATCAGATAAAGTGTGTCTGTGACTCACTTGATTGGGTCACAGATCAGATAAAGTGTGTCTGTGACTCACTTGATTGGGTCACAGATCAGATAAAGTGTGTCTGTGACTCACTTGATTAGGTCACAGATCAGATGTGTCTGTGACTCACTTGATTGGGTCACAGGCCAGATAAAGTGTGTCTGTGACTCACTTGATTGGGTCACAGATCAAATAAAGTGTGTCTGTGACTCACTTGATTGGGTCACAGATCAAATAAAGTGTGTCTGTGACTCACTTGATTGGGTCACAGATCAGATAAAGTGTGTCTGTGACTCACTTGATTGGGTCACAGATCAGATAAAGTGTGTCTGTGACTCACTTGATTAGGTCACAGATCAGATGTGTCTGTGACTCACTTGATTGGGTCACAGGTCAGATAAAGTGTGTCTGTGACTCACTTGATTGGGTCACAGATCAAATAAAGTGTGTCTGTGACTCACTTGATTGGGTCACAGATCAAATAAAGTGTGTCTGTGACTCACTTGATTGGGTCACAGATCAGATAAAGTGTGTCTGTGACTCACTTGATTGGGTCACAGATCAGATAAAGTGTGTCTGTGACTCACTTGATTGGGTCACAGATCAGATAAAGTGTGTCTGTGACTCACTTGATTGGGTGACAGGTCAGATAAAGTGTGTCTGTGACTCACTTGATTGGGTCACAGATCAGATAAAGTGAGTCTGTGACTCACTTGATTGGGTCACAGGTCAGATAAAGTGTGTCTGTGACTCACTTGATTGGGTGACAGATCAGATGTGTCTGTGACTCACTTGATTGGGTCACAGGTCAGATGTGTCTGTGACTCGCTTGATTGGGTCACAGGTTAGATAAAGTGTGTCTGTGACTCACTTGATTGGGTCACAGATCAAATAAAGTGTGTCTGTGACTCACTTGATTGGGTCACAGATCAAATAAAGTGTGTCTGTGACTCACTTGATTGGGTCACAGATCAGATAAAGTGTGTCTGTGACTCACTTGATTGGGTCACAGATCATATAAAGTGTGTCTGTGACTCACTTGATTGGGTCACAGATCAGATAAAGTGTGTCTGTGACTCACTTGATTGGGTGACAGGTCAGATAAAGTGTGTCTGTGACTCACTTGATTGGGTCACAGATCAGATAAAGTGTGTCTGTGACTCACTTGATTGGGTCACAGGTCAGATAAAGTGTGTCTGTGACTCACTTGATTGGGTCACAGATCAGATAAAGTGTGTCTGTGACTCACTTGATTAGGTCACAGATCAGATGTGTCTGTGACTCACTTGATTGGGTCACAGGTCAGATAAAGTGTGTCTGTGACTCACTTGATTGGGTCACAGATCAGATAAAGTGTGTCTGTGACTCACTTGATTAGGTCACAGATCAGATGTGTCTGTGACTCACTTGATTGGGTCACAGGTCAGATAAAGTGTGTCTGTGACTCACTTGATTGGGTCACAGATCAAGTAAAGTGTGTCTGTGACTCACTTGATTGGGTCACAGATCAAATAAAGTGTGTCTGTGACTCACTTGATTGGGTCACAGATCAGATAAAGTGTGTCTGTGACTCACTTGATTGGGTCACAGATCAGATAAAGTGTGTCTGTGACTCACTTGATTAGGTCACAGATCAGATGTGTCTGTGACTCACTTGATTGGGTCACAGGTCAGATAAAGTGTGTCTGTGACTCACTTGATTGGGTCACAGATCAAATAAAGTGTGTCTGTGACTCACTTGATTGGGTCACAGATCAAATAAAGTGTGTCTGTGACTCACTTGATTGGGTCACAGATCAGATAAAGTGTGTCTGTGACTCACTTGATTGGGTCACAGATCAGATAAAGTGTGTCTGTGACTCACTTGATTGGGTCACAGATCAGATAAAGTGTGTCTGTGACTCACTTGATTAGGTCACAGATCAGATGTGTCTGTGACTCACTTGATTGGGTCACAGGTCAGATAAAGTGTGTCTGTGACTCACTTGATTGGGTCACAGATCAAATAAAGTGTGTCTGTGACTCACTTGATTGGGTCACAGATCAAATAAAGTGTGTCTGTGACTCACTTGATTGGGTCACAGATCAGATAAAGTGTGTCTGTGACTCACTTGATTGGGTCACAGATCAGATAAAGTGTGTCTGTGACTCACTTGATTAGGTCACAGATCAGATGTGTCTGTGACTCACTTGATTGGGTCACAGGTCAGATAAAGTGTGTCTGTGACTCACTTGATTGGGTCACAGATCAAATAAAGTGTGTCTGTGACTCACTTGATTGGGTCACAGATCAAATAAAGTGTGTCTGTGACTCACTTGATTGGGTCACAGATCAGATAAAGTGTGTCTGTGACTCACTTGATTGGGTCACAGATCAGATAAAGTGTGTCTGTGACTCACTTGATTGGGTCACAGATCAGATAAAGTGTGTCTGTGACTCACTTGATTGGGTCACAGGTCAGATAAAGTGTGTCTGTGACTCACTTGATTGGGTGACAGATCAGATGTGTCTGTGACTCACTTGATTGGGTCACAGGTCAGATGTGTCTGTGACTCGCTTGATTGGGTCACAGGTTAGATAAAGTGTGTCTGTGACTCACTTGATTGGGTCACAGATCAAATAAAGTGTGTCTGTGACTCACTTGATTGGGTCACAGATCAAATAAAGTGTGTCTGTGACTCACTTGATTGGGTCACAGATCAGATAAAGTGTGTCTGTGACTCACTTGATTGGGTCACAGATCAGATAAAGTGTGTCTGTGACTCACTTGATTGGGTCACAGATCAGATAAAGTGTGTCTGTGACTCACTTGATTGGGTGACAGGTCAGATAAAGTGTGTCTGTGACTCACTTGATTGGGTCACAGATCAGACAAAGTGTGTCTGTGACTCACTTGATTGGGTCACAGGTCAGATAAAGTGTGTCTGTGACTCACTTGATTGGGTGACAGATCAGATGTGTCTGTGACTCACTTGATTGGGTCACAGGTCAGATGTGTCTGTGACTCGCTTGATTGGGTCACAGATCAGATAAAGTGTGTCTGTGACTCACTTGATTGGGTCACAGATCAGATAAAGTGTGTCTGTGACTCACTTGATTGGGTCACAGATCAGATAAAGTGTGTCTGTGACTCACTTGATTGGGTCACAGGTCAGATAAAGTGTGTCTGTGACTCACTTGATTGGGTCACAGGTCAGATAAAGTGTGTCTGTGACTCACTTGATTGGGTCACAGATCAGATAAAGTGTGTCTGTGACTCACTTGATTGGGTCACAGGTCAGATAAAGTGTGTCTGTGACTCACTTGATTGGGTGACAGGTCAGATAAAGTGTGTCTGTGACTCACTTGATTGGGTCACAGGTCAGATAAAGTGTGTCTGTGACTCACTTGATTGGGTCACAGATAAGATGTGTCTGTGACTCACTTGATTGGGTCACAGATCAGATGTGTCTGTGACTCACTTGATTGAGTCACAGATCAGATAAAGTGTGTCTGTGACTCACTTGATTGGGTCACAGATCAGATGTGTCTGTGACTCACTTGATTGAGTCACAGATCAGATAAAGTGTGTCTGTGACTCACTTGATTGGGTCACAGATCAGATAAAGTGTGTCTGTGACTCACTTGATTGGGTCACAGATCAGATAAAGTGTGTCTGTGACTCACTTGATTGAGTCACAGATCAGATAAAGTGTGTCTGTGACTCACTTGATTGGGTCACAGGTCAGATAAAGTGTGTCTGTGACTCACTTGATTGGGTCACAGATCAGATGTGTCTGTGACTCACTTGATTGGGTCACAGATCAGATAAAGTGTGTCAGTGACTCACTTGATTGGGTCACAGATCAGATAAAGTGTGTCTGTGACTCACTTGATTGGGTCACAGATCAGATGTGTCTGTGACTCACTTGATTGGGTCACAGATCAGATAAAGTGTGTCTGTGACTCACTTGATTGGGTCACAGATCAGATAAAGTGTGTCTGTGACTCACTTGATTGGGTCACAGATCAGATAAAGTGTGTCTGTGACTCACTTGATTGGGTGACAGGTCAGATAAAGTGTGTCTGTGACTCACTTGATTGGGTCACAGATCAGATAAAGTGTGTCTGTGACTCACTTGATTGGGTGACAGGTCAGATAAAGTGTGTCTGTGACTCACTTGATTGGGTCACAGATCAGATAAAGTGTGTCTGTGACTCACTTGATTGGGTCACAGGTCAGATAAAGTGTGTCTGTGACTCACTTGATTGGGTCACAGATCAGATAAAGTGTGTCTGTGACTCACTTGATTGGGTCACAGGTCAGATAAAGTGTGTCTGTGACTCACTTGATTGGGTGACAGATCAGATGTGTCTGTGACTCACTTGATTGGGTCACAGGTCAGATGTGTCTGTGACTCGTTTGATTGGGTCACAGATCAGATAAAGTGTGTCTGTGACTCACTTGATTGGGTCACAGATCAGATAAAGTGTGTCTGTGACTCACTTGATTGGGTCACAGATCAGATAAAGTGTGTCTGTGACTCACTTGATTGGGTCACAGATCAGATAAAGTGTGTCTGTGACTCACTATATTGAGTCACAGATCAGATGTGTCTGTGACTCACTTGATTGGGTCACAGGTCAGATATGATGTTTAAGAAGTTAAATTAGCAACAAAAAATATATGAATATAATTCTATGAAACTACCAAAGGGTTACTAACAAGGATGACCACACTATAAGCTAAAGTCATGAAATATTTAAACATTTTCTTCTTTTCATTTGTTTTATTCATCAGGCCTTTTGTGAGCCCATTCTATGGGAGCCAATATGTTGTGAGTCTGTTTGAGCCCATTCTATGGGAGCCAATATGTTGTGAGTCTGTTTGAGCCAATTCTATGGGAGCCAATATGTTGTGAGTCTGTTTGAGCCAATTCTATGGGAGCCAATATGTTGTGAGTCTGTTTGAGCCAATTCTATGGGAGCCAATATGTTGTGAGTCTGAGCCAATTCAATGGGAGCCAATATGTTGTGAGTCTGTTTGAGCCAATTCTATGGGAGCCAATATATTGTGAGTCTGTTTGAGCCAATTCTATGGGAGCCAATATGTTGTGAGTCTGTTTGAGCCAATTCAATGGGAGCCAATATGTTGTGAGTCTGAGCCAATTCAATGGGAGCCAATATGTTGTGAGTCTGAGCCAATTCTATGGGAGCCAATATGTTGTGAGTCTGTTTGAGCCAATTCTATGGGAGCCAATATGTTGTGAGTCTGTTTGAGCCAATTCTATTGGAGCCAATATGTTGTGAGTCTGAGCCAATTCAATGGGAGCCAATATGTTGTGAGTCTGAGCCAATTCAATGGGAGCCAATATGTTGTGAGTCTGAGCCAATTCAATGGGAGCCAATATTTTGTGAGTCTGTTTGAGCCAATTCAATGGGAGCCAATATGTTGTGAGTCTGTTTGAGCCAATTCAATGGGAGCCAATATGTTGTGAGTCTGTTTGAGCCAATTCTATGGGAGCCAATATGTTGTGAGTCTGTTTGAGCCAATTCAATGGGAGCCAATATGTTGTGAGTCTGAGCCAATTCTATGGGAGCCAATATGTTGTGAGTCTGAGCCAATTCAATGGGAGCCAATATGTTGTGAGTCTGTTTGAGCCAATTCTATGGGAGTCAATATATTGTGAGTCTGTTTGAGCCAATTCTATGGGAGCCAATATGTTGTGAGTCTGAGCCAATTCTATGGGAGCCAATATGTTGTGAGTCTGTTTGAGCCAATTCTATTGGAGCCAATATGTTGTGAGTCTGTTTGAGCTAATTCTATGGGAGCCAATATGTTGTGAGTCTGTTTGAGCCAATTCTATGGGAGCCAATATGTTGTGAGTATGTTTGAGCCAATTCTATGGGAGCCAATATGTTGTGAGTCTGTTTGAGCCAATTCTATGGGAGCCAATATGTTGTGAGTCTGTTTGAGCCAATTCTATGGGAGCCAATATGTTGTGAGTCTGTTTGAGCCAATTCTATGGGAGCCAATATGTTGTGAGTCTGTTTGAGCCAATTCTATGGGAGCCAATATGTTGTATGTTTGAGCCAATTCTATGGGAGCCAATATGTTGTGAGTATGTTTGAGCCAATTCTATGGGAGCCAATATGTTGTGAGTCTGTTTGAGCCAATTCTATGGGAGCCAATATGTTGTGAGTCTGAGCCAATTCTATGGGAGCCAATATGTTGTGAGTCTGTTTGAGCCAATTCTATGGGAGCCAATATGTTGTGAGTCTGTTTGAGCCAATTCTATGGGAGCCAATATGTTGTGAGTCTGAGCCAATTCTATGGGAGCCAATATGTTGTGAGTCTGTTTGAGCCAATTCTATGGGAGCCAATATGTTGTGAGTCTGTTTGAGCCAATTCTATTGGAGCCAATATGTTGTGAGTCTGTTTGAGCCAATTCTATTGGAGCCAATATGTTGTGAGTATGTTTGAGCCAATTCTATGGGAGCCAATATGTTGTGAGTATGTTTGAGCCAATTCTATGGGAGCCAATATGTTGTGAGTATGTTTGAGCCAATTCTATGGGAGCCAATATGTTGTGAGTCTGTTTGAGCCAATTCTATGGGCGCCAATATGTTGTGAGTCTGTTTGAGCCAATTCTATGGGAGCCAATATGTTGTGAGTCTGTTTGAGCCAATTCTATGGGAGCCAATATGTTGTGAGTCTGTTTGAGCCATTTCTATGGGAGCCAATATGTTGTGAGTCTGAGCCAATTCAATGGGAGCCAATATGTTGTGAGTCTGAGCCAATTCAATGGGAGCCAATATTTTGTGAGTCTGTTTGAGCTAATTCTATGGGAGCCAATATGTTGTGAGTCTGTTTGAGCCAATTCTATGGGAGCCAATATGTTGTGAGTCTGTTTGAGCCAATTCTATGGGAGCCAATATGTTGTGAGTCTGTTTGAGCCAATTCTATGGGAACCAATATGTTGTGAGTCTGAGCCAATTCAATGGGAGCCAATATGTTGTGAGTCTGTTTGAGCCAATTCAATGGGAGCCAATATGTTGTGAGTCTGTTTGAGCCAATTCAATGGGAGCCAATATGTTGTGAGTCTGAGCCAATTCAATGGGAGCCAATATGTTGTGAGTCTGTTTGAGCCAATGCTATGGGAGCCAATATGTTGTGAGTCTGTTTGAGCCAATTCTATGGGAGCCAATATGTTGTGAGTCTGAGCCAATTCAATGGGAGCCAATATGTTGTGAGTCTGTTTGAGCCAATTCTATGGGAGCCAATATGTTGTGAGTCTGAGCCAATTCAATGGGAGCCAATATGTTGTGAGTCTGAGCCAATTCAATGGGAGCCAATATGTTGTGAGTCTGAGCCAATTCAATGGGAGCCAATATGTTGTGAGTCTGAGCCAATTCAATGGGAGCCAATATGTTTTGAGACTGAGCCAATTCAATGGGAGCCAATATGTTTTGAGACTGAGCCAATTCAATGGGAACTGATTTGTCCTTTTATCGAGGCCAAGCTGAATGAGTGGTTTTGTCTTGGGCCGATTTCTTGAAGTTGTTTTGATGGAAGTATTTATATGCCCTTGTGATGGAGTCAATAAATACTTCCCTACCCTATTGTATTACAGTGGATCATGTTTTTGTGATTGATAAAATAAATACTTCCCTACCCCTGCACCATTGTATTACAGTGGATCATGTTTTTGTGATTGATAAAATAAATACTTCCCTACCCCATTGTATTACAGTGGATTATGTTTTTGTGATTGATAAAATAATGACTAACCTGTAGAGACAACTTTCTAGGTGGTGGCATATTGCCTTCATAGGCCATAATGCTCCATCTGAAAAAAAGATCTACCTGAGATTACCAACCACACCTGATTTAAATAAACAAGATCTACCTGACATTACCAACCACACCTGATTTAAATAAACAAGATCTACCTGAGATTACCAACCACACCTGATTTAAATAAACAAGATCTACCTGAGATTACCAACCACACCTGATTTAATTAAACAAGATCTACCTGACATTACCAAACACACCTGATTTAAATAAACAAGATCTAACTAACTTGACCAACCACACCTGATTTAAATAAACAAGATCTAACTAACTTGACCAACCACACCTGATTTAAATAAACAAGATCTACCTGAGATTACCAACCACACCTGATTTAAATAAACAAGATCTAACTAACTTGACCAACCACACCTGATTTAAATAAACGAGATCTACCTGACATTACCAACCACACCTGATTTAAATAAACAAGATCTACCTGAGATTACCAACCACACCTGATTTAAATAAACAAGATCTACCTGAGATAACCAACCACACCTGATTTAAATAAACAAGATCTACCTGACATTACCAACCACACCTGATTTAAATAAACAAGATCTACCTGACATTACCAACCACACCTGATTTAAATAAACAAGATCTACCTGAGATTACCAACCTCACCTGATTTAAATAAACAAGATCTAACTAACTTGACCAACCACACCTGATTTAAATAAACAAGATCTAACTAACTTGACCAACCACACCTGATTTAAATAAACAAGATCTACCTGACATTACCAACCACACCTGATTTAAATAAACAAGATCTACCTGAGATTACCAACCACACCTGATTTAAATAAACAAGATCTAACTAACTTGACCAACCACACCTGATTTAAATAAACAAGATCTACCTGACATTACCAACCACACCTGATTTAAATAAACAAGATCTAACTAACTTGACCAACCACACCTGATTTAATTAAACAAGATCTTACCTGTCCAACATTTTGATCTGTGCATGTTCTAGACGTTCTAAGGCTCCAGGTAATTGTGTATCATCATCAAAGGTGGATCCCCACCCCAAAACTCTTGCCAGATCATTACCTGTGCCAAAAGGCAGCACACCAACTTGGCACTGAGGAATAAACATTTTAGACTTGGAATACACCTGTAAAATACATCTACTAAACATTTTAGACTTGGAATACACCTGTAAAATACATCTACTAAACATTTTAGACTTGGAATACACTTGTATAATAGGTTGATTTTAAAATGAAAGTTACTGAAAATAAAGAGTATTCTGTTAGTAAAGTGGTACTAACCCTGTAGAAAAACAATAGATTTCAACTGCACAAACATACTGATATGGTATACAAGTGACAGTACTAAACAAGGGTTGAAGACATACAAACATACTGATATGGTATACAAGTGACAGTACTAAACAGGGGTTGAAGACATACAAACATACTGATATGGTATACAAGTGACAGTACTAAACAGGGGTTGAAGACATACAAACATACTGATATGGTATACAAGTGACAGTACTAAACAGGGGTTGAAGACATACAAATATACTGATATGGTATACAAGTGACAGTACTAAACAGGGGTTGAAGACACAAGTATTAGAGGGTGGGGTTTAAGACATCAGTATTAGAGGGTGGGGTTTAAGACATCAGTATTAGAGGGTGGGGTTTAAGACATCAGTATTAGAGGGTGGGGTTTAAGACATCAGTATTAGAGGGTGGGGTTTAAGACATCAGTATTAGAGGGTGGGGTTTAAGACATCAGTATTAGAGGGTGGGGTTTAAGACATCAGTATTAGAGGGTGGGGTTTAAGACATCAGTATTAGAGGGTGGGGTTTAAGACATCAGTATTAGAGGGTGGGGTTTAAGACATCAGTATTAGAGGGTGGGGTTTAAGACATCAGTATTAGAGGGTGGGGTTTAAGACATCAGTATTAGAGGGTGGGGTTTAAGACATCAGTATTAGACTAATGTGACAGCAATAGGTTTTTACACAATTCAAATGTGACAGCTATAGGTTTTTACACAATTCTAATGTGACAGCTATAGGTTTTTACACAATTCTAATGTGACAGCTATAGGTTTTTACACAATTCTAATGTGACAGCTATAGGTTTTTACACAATTCTAATGTGACAGCTATAGGTTTTTACACAATTCTAATGTGACAGCTATAGGTTTTTACACAATTCAAATGTGACAGCTATAGGTTTTTACGCAATTCAAATGTGACAGCTATAGGTTTTTACACAATTCAAATGTGACAGCTATAGGTTTTTACACAATTCAAATATGACAGCTATAGGTTTTTACACAATTCAAATATGACAGCTATAGGTTTTTACACAATTCAAATGTGACAGGTATAGGTTTTTACACAATTCTAATGTGACAGCAATAGGTTTTTACACAATTGAAATGTGAAAGCAATAGGTTTTTAAACAATTCTAATGTGACAGCAATAGGTTTTTACACAATTCTAATGTGACAGCAATAGGTTTTTACACAATTCAAATGTGAAAGAAAGTGGTTTTTATACTATTCTAATGTGACGGCAATAGGTTTTTACACAATTCTAATGTGACGGCAATAGGTTTTTACACAATTCTAATGTGACAGCTATAGGTTTTTACACAATTCAAATGTGAAAACAATAGGTTTTTACACAATTCTAATGTGACGGCAATAGGTCCATAAGTGTAAGTAAAATAGACAATCAACTAACCTGCCTATGTAGATCCAGTTTATCTATCTCAGACAAAACCCATCCAACACTACCATCACCACCACATATCAGAATACGGAATGAATCAAATCGTTGAAAAAGTTTTAACCTGAAATATCAATTGACATATTTAAGTGAATCAAGATAAAAAGTTATTCAATTTCAGACAAAAAGGTTTGTTTTGTTTTCTAACTGTATAAAACTTACCCTGGAAAAGGTTTTCTAACTGTATAAAACTTACCCTGCAAAAGGTTTTCTAACTGTATAAAACTTACCCTGCAAAAGGTTTTCTAACTGCATAAAACTTACCCCGGAAAAGGTTTTCTAACTGCATAAAACTTACACTGGAAAAGAAATTTTAACTGTATAAAACTTACCCCGGAAAAGGTTTTCTAACTGCATAAAACTTACACTGGAAAAGAAATTTTAACTGTATAAAACTTACCCCGGAAAAGGTTTTCTAACTGCATAAAACTTACACTGGAAAAGAAATTTTAACTGTATAAAACTTACCCCGGAAAAGGTTTTCTAACTGCATAAAACTTACACTGGAAAAGAAATTTTAACTGTATAAAACTTACCCCGGAAAAGGTTTTCTAACTGCATAAAACTTACACTGGAAAAGAAATTTTAACTGTATAAAACTTACCGCGGAAAAGGTTTTCTAACTGCATAAAACTTACACTGGAAAAGAAATTTTAACTGTATAAAACTTACCCCGGAAAAGGTTTTCTAACTGCATAAAACTTACACTGGAAAAGAAATTTTAACTGTATAAAACTTACCCCGGAAAAGGTTTTCTAACTGCATAAAACTTACACTGGAAAAGAAATTTTAACTGTATAAAACTTACCCCGGAAAAGGTTTTCTAACTGCATAAAACTTACACTGGAAAAGAAATTTTAACTGTATAAAACTTACCCCGGAAAAGGTTTTCTAACTGCATAAAACTTACACTGGAAAAGAAATTTTAACTGTATAAAACTTATCCCGGAAAAGGTTTTCTAACTGCATAAAACTTACACTGGAAAAGAAATTTTAACTGTATAAAACTTACCCCGGAAAAGGTTTTCTAACTGCATTAAACTTACACTGGAAAAGAAATTTTACTGTATAAAACTTACCCCGGAAAAGGCCCTCCATTCATGAGGTCAAACACTTGGGCAGGGTTGAGTAACTGTTTAAATCTTCTTAGAAATTTGACACCCTGACATAAGTTCAATAATAGCAAATATTAACAAATTTACCAATGTAAGTAAATATATAGCAGATGATGGTTAACAAAATGTGATGGTTAACCAAATGTGATGGTTAACCAAATGTGATGGTTAACCAGATGTGATGGTTAACCAAATGTGATGGTTAACAAAATGTGATGGTTAACAAAATGTGATGGTTAACAAAATGTGATGGTTAACAAAATGTGGTGGTTAACAAAATGTGATGGTTAACCAAATGTGATGGTTAACAAAATGTGATGGTTAACAAAATGTGATGGTTAACAAAAAGTGATGGTTAACCAAATGAGATGGTTAACCAAATGAGATGGTTAACAAAATGTGATGGTTAACAAAATGTGATGGTTAACCAAATGTGATGGTTAACATGCCCACATACCAGCCAGCTATACTTGCCCACATACCAGCCAGCCATATGTGTCCACATACCAGCCAGCCATACTTGTCCACATACCAGCAAGCCATATGTGTCCACATACCAGCCAGCCATACTTGCCCACATACCAGCCAGCCATACTTGCCCACATACCAGCCTGCCATACTTGTCCACATACCAGCCAGCTATACTTGTCCACATACCAGCCAGCCATACTTGCCCACATACCAGCCAGCCATATGTGTCCACATACCAGCCAGCTATACTTGTCCACATACCAGCCAGCCATATTTGCCCACATACCAGCCAGCCATACTTGTCCACATACCAGCCAGCCATATGTGTCCACATACCAGCCAGCCATACTTGCCCACATACCAGCCAGCCATACTTGCCCACATACCAGCCAGCCATACTTGTCCACATACCAGCCAGCCATACTTGCCCACATACCAGCCAGCCATATTAGCCCACATACCAGCCAGCCATACTTGCCCACATACCAGCCAGCCATATGTGTCCACATACCAGCCATACGTGTCCACATACCAGCCAGCCATACTTGCCCACATACCAGCCAGCCATACTTGCCCACATACCAGCCAGCCATACTTGCCCACATACCAGCCAGCCATACTTGCCCACATTCCAGCCAGCCATATGTGCCCACATACCAGCCAGCTATACTTGCCCACATACCAGCCAGCCATACTTGCCCACATACCAGCCAGCCATACTTGCCCACATTCCAGCCAGCCATACTTGCCCACATACCAGCCAGCCATATGTGTCCACATACCAGCCAGCCATACTTGTCCACATACCAGCCAGCCATACTTGTCCACATACCAGCCAGCCATATGTGCCCACATACCAGCCAGCTATAATTGCCCACATACCAGCCAGCCATATGTGTCCACATACCAGCCAGCCATACTTGTCCACATACCAGCCAGCCATACTTGCCCACATACCATCCAGCCATACTTGCCCACATAAAACCACGGATATTGTCCAGTACCTGATTGTCTCCACTTTTGGTATTGACATATACCAATAAAGGGGAGGTACCCTGGGGTCTCCTCCCCTCCCAGTAGCCATCACTATCAATGGATGAAATAGCAGTTGGAGGAAGAATAGACACACGACACTGGCCTAAAGGACACTTTTTACTCATCTGATCTTTACATAAACTGTGAACCTGTTACAAATACACAATAATTACATGCATGGCTCTTTAACAAACATGGCTCTAAAGGTTATACGAACATGGCTCTTTAACAAACATGGCTCCAAAGGTTATACGAACATGGCTCTTTAACAAACATGGCTCCAAAGGTTATACGAACATGGCTCTTTAACAAACATGGCTCCAAAGGTTATACGAACATGGCTCTTTAACAAACATGGCTCTAAAGGTTATACGAACATGGCTCTTTAACAAACATGGCTCTAAAGGTTATACGAACATGGCTCTTTAACAAACATGGCTCTAAAGGTTATACGAACATGGCTCTTTAACAAACATGGCTCTAAAGGTTATACGAACATGGCTCTTTAACAAACATGGCTCTAAAGGTTATACGAACATGGCTCTTTAACAAACATGGCTCTAAAGGTTATACGAACATGGCTCTTTAACAAACATGGCTCCAAAGGTTATACGAACATGGCTCTTTAACAAACATGGCTCTAAAGGTTATACGAACATGGCTCTTTAACAAACATGGCTCTAAAGGTTATACGAACATGGCTCTTTAACAAACATGACTCTAAAGGTTATACGAACATCGCTCTTTAACAAACATGGCTCTAAGGGTTATACGAACATGGCTCTTTAACAAACATGGCTCTAAAGGTTATACGAACATGGCTCTTTAACAAACATGGCTCTAAAGGTTATACGAACATCGCTCTTTAACAAACATGGCTCTAAGGGTTATACGAACATGGCTCTTTAACAAACATGGCTCTAAAGGTTATACGAACATGGCTCTTTAACAAACATGGCTCTAAGGGTTATACGAACATGGCTCTTTAACAAACATAGCTCTAAAGGTTATACGAACATGGCTCTTTAAGGGGATATTCGCAGCTTTTTTCTATTATTTACAATTTAAGATCTAAAGCCTTTGAATACTATTACCATGTTTGGCACATGAAAGTAAGTATTAAACAGCAAAAAAAGGGTTGAAAACAATTTTGGTTGTCATGTAAACCCCAAAAAACCTACGCCTTTTTTAATTTTTCTGTACTTTTAAAAACGCTAAGGCTTTTTTATTTATGCACTTATAGCAATCAAATTTAAAGTGTTTATATTTCAGTATATATTAAAAATTTCGTCACGACAAGTTTTTGAAATACCTACTAGTAAGAATTTCACAAAGTCTAAAATACCCTAACCGTTTTAGTATTCAAAAGTTTCAAAATTTGCATATTAATTACCCAATACTTTTTTTCTATGAAAGCCGTCACAATTCCCTCATGAGAAAAGTTGTATTTTTACATGAAGAAAAATTACTGAGAATATGGTGGGCATTGTTTAATAAATTAAAAAGTAGTAGTCTTTTTAGTGTTAAAAACCTGCAAACAGAAAAACAGCCAAAAGCAACAAAAAGTAGGTCATGAAAATACCATATCTGTGTAAACTGCAATCCCAATTGTAAGCTCGGTGTTTTCAAGAAGATGGAAATATGGATTATCAAATACATGAGAAATCCAGCTTTCCAGTGATGCCGAATACAAGATGATGACGGATATAAAACTTTTCATAGAGAACTTGAAAGATTCTAATGGTTTCATATGCAGGTTAACAAATATATTTGACACTATTCTAATAGTTTACTATGCAGGTTAACAAATATATTTGACACTATTCTAATGGTTGTCTATGCAGGTTAACAAATATATTTGACACTATTCTAATGGTTGTCTAAGCAGGTTAACAAATATATTTGACACTATTCTAATGGTTGTCTATGCAGGTTAACAAATATATTTAACATTATTCTAATGGTTGACTATGCAGGTTAACAAATATATTTGACACTATTCTAATGGTTGTCTATGCAGGTTAACAAATATATTTGACACTAATCTAATGGTTTCATATGCAGGTTAACAAATATATTTGACACTATTCTAATGGTTCCATATGCAGGTTAACAAATATATTTGACACTATTCTAATGGTTGTCTATGCAGGTTAACAAATATATATGACACTATTCTAATGGTTCCATATGCAGGTTAACAAATATATTTGACACTATTCTAATGGTTGTCTATGCAGGTTAACAAATATATTTGACACTATTCTAATGGTTTCATATGCAGGTTAACAAATATATTTGACACTATTCTAATGGTTCCATATGCAGGTTAACAAATATATTTGACACTATTCTAATGGTTGTCTATGCAGGTTAACAAATATATATGACACTATTCTAATGGTTCCATATGCAGGTTAACAAATATATATGACACTATTCTAATGGTTCCATATGCAGGTTAACAAATATATTTGACACTATTCTAATGGTTCACTATGCAGTTTAACAAATACAAGCATACAACTGACCATGGCTCGGCACCATAAACATCTCCAGTCCTGCAGTCTAAGAACACTCCCACATGTTTTATCACAGACAAAGCATTTGGCACTGACAGGTAGATTTCCTTCCATCCATTGGTGCGGCATTGAGATCTAGAGAGAATATTTTCTAATTATAACATTGGTGGGCATTGAGATCTAGAGAGAATATTTTCTAATTATAACATTGGTGCGGCATTGAGATCTAGAGAGAATATTTTCTAATTATAACATTGGTGGGCATTGAGATCTAGAGAGAATATCTTCTAATTATAACATTGGTGGGCATTGAGATCTAGAGAGAATATTTTCTAATTATAACATTGGTGGGCATTGAGATCTAGAGAGAATATTTTCTAATTATAACATTGGTGGGCATTGAGATCTAGAGAGAATATCTTCTAATTATAACATTGGTGGGCATTGAGATCTAGAGAGAATATTTTCTAATTATAACATTGGTGGGCATTGAGATCTAGAGAGAATATTTTCTAATTATAACATTGGTGGGCATTGAGATCTAGAGAGAATATCTTCTAATTATAACATTGGTGGGCATTAAAATCTAGAGAGAATATTTTCTAATTATAACATTGGTGGGCATTGAGATCTAGAGAGAATATCTTCAAATTATAACATTGGTGGGCATTGAGATCTAGAGAGAATATTTTCTAATTATAACATTGGTGGGCATTGAGATCTAGAGAGAATATCTTCTAATTATAACATTGGTGGGCATTGAGATCTAGAGAGAATATTTTCTAATTATAACATTGGTGGGCATTGAGATCTACAGAGAATATTTTCTAATTATAACATTGGTGCGGCATTAAGATCTAGAGAGAATATTTTCTAATTATAACATTGGTGGGCATTGAGATCTAGAGAGAATATTTTCTAATTATAACATTGGTGGGCATTGAGATCTAGAGAGAATATTTTCTAATTATAACATTGGTGCGGCATTGAGATCTACAGAGAATATTTAGTGCTGTATTGAGTTGAAAGTTTTCCGAAAAGACACTTGCCAGAATGAGGGTTGCATGAAGGCAGATTTCCCGAATAGACGCTTACCTGTCAAATGGACCCTTGCCTGAATGGGACAAATGCCCGAATGGACACTTGCCTGAATGGGACAAATGCCCAAATGGACACTTGCCTGAATCAGACAAATGCCCAAATGGACACTTGACTGAATGGGACAAATGCCCAAATGGACACTTGCCTGAATCGGACAAATGCCCAAATGGACACTTGCCTGAATCAGACAAATGCCCAAATGGACACTTGACTGAATGGGACAAATGCCCAAATGGACACTTGCCTGAATGGGACAAATGCCCAAATGGACACTTGCCTGAATGGGAAAAATGCCCAAATGGACACTTGCCTGAATGGGACTAATGCCCAAATGGACACTTGCCTGAATGGGACTAATGCCCAAATGGACACTTGCCTGAATGGGACAAATGCCCAAATGGACACTTGACTGAATGGGAAAAATGCCCAAATGGACACTTGCCTGAATGGGACTAATGCCCAAATGGACACTTGCCTGAATGGGACAAATGCCCAAATGGACACTTGCCTGAATGGGAAAAATGCCCAAATGGACACTTGCCTGAATGGGACAAATGCCCAAATGGACACTTGACTGAATGGGACAAATGCCCAAATGGAAACTTGCCTGAATGGGACAAATGCCCAAATGGACACTTGCCTGAATGGGACAAATGCCCAAATGGACACTTGCCTGAATGGGAAAAATGCCCAAATGGAAACTTGCCTGAATGGGACAAATGCCCAAATGGACACTTGCCTGAATCGGACAAATGCCCAAATGGACACTTGCCTGAATGGGACTAATGCCCAAATGTACACTTGACTGAATGGGACAAATGCCTGAATGGACATTTCTCCCCCAGTAAGGCCACACAAGTCACTCAGCATTCAGACAAAGTGCAGCATTGCGATCTAGAGAGAAACTTTTGATAAATGTATAGACAAATATCAAGTGAACTCTACTTCACTTGCCCCATAGACCGTCAGGTTTGAAAGGGAAACTTTACTTACTTTATAGCTAAATTTCATCAGGTTATGACTTACCCCATCGTCATCCTCAATAATATCTTTGCCAATAGAAGCCAAGGCTGTCCACTTACAGTTTGTTGAAGCACGGATAGCACAGCGTTTGTGAGCTTTAAATTTGCACACTAAAATAGAGCAAGTTCAAAAAGTTTGTACCTGTATTAGAAAAGATAGTTGGGCATAGCACAAGTTCAAAGAGTTTGTACCCTGGTACAGAAAAGATAGTTAGGCATAGCACAAGTTCAAAGAGTTTGTACCCTGGTACAGAATAGATAGTTAGGCATAGCACAAGTTCAAAGAGTTTATACCCTGGTACAGAAAAGATAGGCATAGCACAAGTTCAAAGAGTTTGTACCCTGGTACAGTAAGGATAGTTAGGCATAGCACAAGTTCAAAGAGTTTGTACCCTGGTACAGAAAAGATAGTTAGGCATAGCACAAGTTCGAAGAGTTTGTACCCTGGTACAGAAAAGATAGGCATAGCACAAGTTCAAAGAGTTTGTACCCTGGTACAGTAGAGCATGTATGGTGCTGGACTGACATCAACAAATTAACACTGCTGTTGTTCATTAACTGACTCTCTGTACAGTCCTTCCCTCTAAAACACTGCAGTTGTTCATTAACTGACTCTCTGTACAGTCCTTCCCTCTAAAACACTGCAGCTGTTCATTAACTGACTCTCTGTACAGTCCTTCCCTCTAAAACACTGCAGTTGTTCATTAACTGACTCTCTGTACAGTCCTTCCCTCTAAAACACTGCAGTTGTTCATTAACTGACTCTCTATACAGTCCTTCCCTCTAAAACACTGCAGTTGTTCATTAACTGACTCTCTGTACAGTCCTTCCCTTTAAAACACTGCAGTTGTTCATTAACTGACTCTCTGTACAGTCCTTCCCTCTAAAACACTGACTACAGTCACTAACCCAGGCTACAGTCACTAACCCAGGCTACAGTCACTAACCCAGGCTACAGTCACTAACCCAGGCTACAGTCACTAACCCAGGCTCACTAACCCAGGCTACAGTCACTAACCCAGGCTACAGTCACTAACCCAGGCTACAGTCACTAACCCAGGCTCACTAACCCAGGCTACAGTCACTAACCCAGGCTACAGTCACTAACCCAGGCTACAGTCACTAACCCAGACTACAGTCACTAACCCAGGCTACAGTCACTAACCCAGGCTACAGTCACTAACCCAGGCTCACTAACCCAGGCTACAGTCACTAACCCAGGCTACAGTCACTAACCCAGGCTACAGTCACTAACCCAGGCTACAGTCACTAACCCAGGCTACAGTCACTAACCCAGGCTCACTAACCCAGGCTACAGTCACTAACCCAGGCTACAGTCACTAACCCAGGCTACAGTCACTAACCCAGACTACAGTCACTAACCCAGGCTCACTAACCCAGGCTACAGTCACTAACCCAGGCTACAGTCACTAACCCAGGCTACAGTCACTAACCCAGGCTACAGTCACTAACCCAGGCTACAGTCACTAACCCAGGCTACAGTCACTAACCCAGGCTAGTCACTAACCCAGGCTACAGTCACTAACCCAGGCTACAGTCACTAACCCAGGCTACAGTCACTAACCCAGGCTACAGTCACTAACCCAGGCTACAGTCACTAACCCAGGCTCACTAACCCAGGCTACAGTCACTAACCCAGGCTACAGTCACTAACCCAGGCTACAGTCACTAACCCAGGCTACAGTCACTAACCCAGGCTACAGTCACTAACCCAGGCTACAGTCACTAACCCAGACTACAGTCACTAACCCAGGCTACAGTCACTAACCCAGGCTACAGTCACTAACCCAGGCTCACTAACCCAGGCTACAGTCACTAACCCAGGCTACAGTCACTAACCCAGGCTACAGTCACTAACCCAGGCTACAGTCACTAACCCAGGCTACAGTCACTAACCCAGGCTACAGTCACTAACCCAGGCTACAGTCACTAACCCAGGCTACAGTCACTAACCCAGGCTACTGTCACTAACCCAGGCTACAGTCACTAACCCAGGCTACAGTCACTAACCCAGGCTACAGTCACTAACCCAGGCTACAGTCACTAACCCAGGCTACAGTCACTAACCCAGGCTACAGTCACTAACCCAGGCTACAGTCACTAACCCAGGCTACAGTCACTAACCCAGGCTACAGTCACTAACCCAGGCTACAGTCACTAACCCAGACTACAGTCACTAACCCAGGCTCACTAACCCAGGCTACAGTCACTAACCCAGGCTACAGTCACTAACCCAGGCTACAGTCACTAACCCAGGCTACAGTCACTAACCCAGGCTACAGTCACTAACCCAGGCTACAGTCACTAACCCAGGCTACAGTCACTAACCCAGGCTACAGTCACTAACCCAGGCTACAGTCACTAACCCAGGCTACAGTCACTAACCCAGGCTACAGTCACTAACCCAGGCTACAGTCACTAACCCAGGCTACAGTCACTAACCCAGGCTACAGTCACTAACCCAGGCTACTGTCACTAACCCAGGCTAGAGTCACTAACCCAGGCTCTAATGGGCCTTGACTTAAGATGGTTGACCTTCACATTTAACTAGCTCCTATGAGCACTTGTGTGAAATGGTAAGCTTCCAAAATTCATCCATTTGAAATATCCAATAATATTCTCTTAACTTTACAAGATAATCCAGATTTTTTTCTCACCTTCACAAGATAATCCAGATTTTTTTCTCACCTTCACAAGATAATCCAGATTTTTTTCTCACCTTCACAAGATAATCCAGATTTTTTTCTCACCTTCACAAGATAATCCAGATTTTTTTCTCACCTTCACAAGATAATCCAGATTTTTTTCTCACCTTCACAAGATAATCCAGATTTTTTTCTCACCTTCACAAGATAATCCAGATATTTTCTTACCTTCACAAGATAATCCAGATATTTTCTTACCATCACAAGATAATCCAGATATTTTCTTACCTTCACAAGATAATCCAGATATTTTCTTACCTTCACAAGATAATCCAGATATTTTCTTACCTTCACAAGATAATCCAGATATTTTCTTACCTTCACAAGATAATCCAGATATTTTCTTACCTTCACAAGATAATCCAGATATTTTCTTACCTTCACAAGATAATCCAGATATTTTCTTACCTTCACAAGATAATCCAGATATTTTCTTACCTTCACAAGATAATCCAGATATTTTCTTACCTTCACAAGATAATCCAGATATTTTCTTACCTTCACAAGATAATCCAGATATTTTCTTACCATCACAAGATAATCCAGATATTTTCTTACCTTCACAAGATAATCCAGATATTTTCTTACCATCACAAGATAATCCAGATATTTTCTTACCTTCACAAGATAATCCAGATATTTTCTTACCTTCACAAGATAATCCAGATATTTTCTTACCTTCACAAGATAATCCAGATATTTTCTTACCTTCACAAGATAATCCAGATATTTTCTTACCTTCACAAGATAATCCAGATATTTTCTTACCTTCACAAGATAATCCAGATATTTTCTTACCTTCACAAGATAATCCAGATATTTTCTTACCTTCACAAGATAATCCATGTGAAGTCACTCCAGAAAGTGCTTCTCGACAAACATTACAGTATGTAGGTCTCGCATGAGAACATGCATACCAGTTATGTTGGCCAGACATCATCTCAGAGTGACTTGTGTGGCCTTGCTGGGAGAGAAAGATGGGATTAGAGAGACTGGTCTTGCTGGAAGAGAAAGATGGGATTAGAGAGACTGGCCTTGCTGGGAGAGAAAGATGGGATTAGAGAGACTTGTGTGGCCTTGCTGGGTGAGAAAGATAGGATTAGAGAGACTGGTGTGGCCTTGCTGGGAGAGAAAGATGGGATTAGAGAGACTGGTCTTGCTGGAAGAGAAAGATGGGATTAGAGAGACTTGTGTGGCCTTGCTGGGAGAGAAAGATGGGATTAGAGTGACTTGTGTGGCCTTGCTGGGAGAGAAAGATAGGATTAGAGAGACTTGTGTGGCCTTGCTGGGAGAGAAAGATGGGATTAGAGAGACTGGTCTTGCTGGGAGAGAAAGATGGGATTAGAGTGACTTGTGTGGCCTTGCTGGGAGAGAAAGATAGGATTAGAGAGACTTGTGTGGCCTTGCTGGGAGAGAAAGATGGGATTAGAGAGACTTGTGTGGCCTTGCTGGGAGAGAAAGATGGGATTAGAGAGACTTGTGTGGCCTTGCTGGGAGAGAAAGATAGAATTAGAGAGACTTGTGTGGCCTTGCTGGGAGAGAAAGATGGGATTAGAGAGACTTGTGTGGCCTTGCTGGGAGAGAAAGATGGGATTAGAGAGACTTGTGTGGCCTTGCTGGGAGAGAAAGATGGGATTAGAGAGACTGGTCTTGCTGGGAGAGAAAGATGGGATTAGAGAGACTTGTGTGGCCTTGCTGGGAGAGAAAGATGGGATTAGAGAGACTTGTGTGGCCTTGCTGGGAGAGAAAGATAGGATTAGAGAGACTTGTGTGGCCTTGCTGGGAGAGAAAGATGGGATTAGAGAGACTTGTGTGGCCTTGCTGGAAGAGAAAGATAGAATTAGAGAGACTTGTGTGGCCCATCTGGGAGAGAAAGATGGGATTAGAGAGACTTGTGTGGCCTTGCTGGGAGAGAAAGATGGGATTAGAGAGACTTGTGTGGCCTTGCTGGGAGAGAAAGATAGGATTAGAGAGACTGGTCTTGCTGGGAGAGAAAGATGGGATTAGAGAGACTTGTGTGGCCTTGCTGGGAGAGAAAGATGGGATTAGAGAGACTGGTCTTGCTGGGAGAGAAAGATAGGATTAGAGAGACTGGTCTTGCTGGGAGAGAAAGATAGGATTAGAGAGACTGGTCTTGTTGAGAGAGAAAGATAGGATTAGAGAGACTTGTGTGGCCTTGCTGGGAGAGAAAGATAGGATTAGAGAGACTTGTGTGGCCTTGCTGGGAGAGAAAGATGGGATTAGAGAGACTGGTCTTGCTGGGAGAGAAAGATGGGATTAGAGAGACTGGTCTTGCTGGGAGAGAAAGATAGGATTAGAGAGACTGGCCTTGCAGGGAGAGAAAGATAGGATTAGAGAGACTGGTCTTGCTGGGAGAGAAAGATGGGATTAGAGAGACTGGCCTTGCTGGGAGAGAAAGATAGGATTAGAGAGACTTGTGTGGCCTTGCTGGGAGAGAAAGATGGGATTAGAGAGACTGGTCTTGCTGGAAGAGAAAGATGGGATTAGAGAGACTTGTGTGGCCTTGCTGGGAGAGAAAGATGGGATTAGAGAGACTGGCCTTGCTGGGAGAGAAAGATGGGATAAGAGAGACTGGTCTTGCTGGGAGAGAAAGATGGGATTAGAGAGACTGGTCTTGCTGGGAGAGAAAGATGGGATTAGAGAGACTTGTGCGGCCTTGCTGGGAGAGAAAGATGAGATTAGAGAGACTTGTGTGGCCTTGCTGGGAGAGAAAGATGGGATTAGAGAGACTTGTGTGGCCTTGCTGGGAGAGAAAGATGGGATTAGAGAGACTTGTGTGGCCTTGCTGGGAGAGAAAGATGGGATTAGAGAGACTTGTGTGGCCTTGCTGGGAGAGAAAGATGGGATTAGAGAGACTGGCCTTGCTGGGAGAGAAAGATGGGATTAGAGAGACTTGTGTGGCCTTGCTGGGAGAGAAAGATGGGATTAGAGAGACTTGTGTGGCCTTGCTGGGAGAGAAAGATGGGATTAGAGAGACTGGCCTTGCTGGGAGAGAAAGATAGGATTAGAGAGACTTGTGTGGCCTTGCTGGGAGAGAAAGATAGGATTAGAGAGACTGGTCTTGCTGGGAGAGAAAGATAGGATTAGAGAGACTTGTGTGGCCTTGCTGGGAGAGAAAGATAGGATTAGAGAGACTGGCCTTGCTGGGAGAGAAAGATAGGATTAGAGAGACTTGTGTGGCCTTGCTGGGAGAGAAAGATAGGATTAGAGAGACTTGTGTGGCCTTGCTGGGAGAGAAAGATGGGATTAGAGAGACTGGTCTTGCTGGGAGAGAAAGATAGGATTAGAGAGACTGGCCTTGCTGGGAGAGAAAGATGGGATTAGAGAGACTTGTGTGGCCTTGCTGGGAGAGAAAGATGGGATTAGAGAGACTGGTCTTGCTGGGAGAGAAAGATGGGATTAGAGAGACTTGTGTGGCCTTGCTGGGAGAGAAAGATGGGATTAGAGAGACTGGCCTTGCTGGGAGAGAAAGATGGGATTAGAGAGACTTGTGTGGCCTTGCTGGGAGAGAAAGATGGGATTAGAGAGACTGGCCTTGCTGGGAGAGAAAGATAGGATTAGAGAGACTGGCCTTGCTGGGAGAGAAAGATAGGATTAGAGAGACTGGTCTTGCTGGGAGAGAAAGATAGGATTAGAGAGACTTGTGTGGCCTTGCTGGGAGAGAAAGATAGGATTAGAGAGACTGGCCTTGCTGGGAGAGAAAGATAGGATTAGAGAGACTTGTGTGGCCTTGCTGGGAGAGAAAGATGGGATTAGAGAGACTGGCCTTGCTGGGAGAGAAAGATGGGATTAGAGAGACGTGTGGCCTTGCTGGGAGAGAAAGATGGGATTAGAGAGACTGGCCTTGCTGGGAGAGAAAGATAGGAGAGACTGGCCTTGCTGGGAGAGAAAGATGGGATTAGAGAGACTGGTCTTGTTGGGAGAGAAAGATAGGATTAGAGAGACTGGTCTTGCTGGGAGAGAAAGATAGGATTAGAGAGACTGGTCTTGTTGGGAGAGAAAGATAGGATTAGAGAGACTTGTGTGGCCTTGCTGGGAGAGAAAGATGGGATTAGAGAGACTTGCCTTGCTGGGAGAGAAAGATGGGATTAGAGAGACTGGTCTTGCTGGGAGAGAAAGATAGGATTAGAGAGACTGGTCTTGCTGGGAGAGAAAGATAGGATTAGAGAGACTTGTGTGGCCTTGCTGGGAGAGAAAGATAGGATTAGAGAGACTGGTCTTGTTGGGAGAGAAAGATAGGATTAGAGAGACTTGTGTGGCCTTGCTGGGAGAGAAAGATGGGATTAGAGAGACTGGTCTTGCTGGGAGAGAAAGATAGGATTAGAGAGACTGGTCTTGCTGGGAGAGAAAGATAGGATTAGAGAGACTGGTCTTGTTGAGAGAGAAAGATAGGATTAGAGAGACTTGTGTGGCCTTGCTGGGAGAGAAAGATAGGATTAGAGAGACTTGTGTGGCCTTGCTGGGAGAGAAAGATAGGATTAGAGAGACTTGTGTGGCCTTGCTGGGAGAGAAAGATGGGATTAGAGAGACTGGCCTTGCTGGGAGAGAAAGATAGGATTAGAGAGACTGGCCTTGCTGGGAGAGAAAGATGGGATTAGAGAGACTGGCCTTGCTGGGAGAGAAAGATATGATTAGAGAGACTTGTGTGGCCTTGCTGGGAGAGAAAGATAGGATTAGAGAGACTTGTGTGGCCTTGCTGGGAGAGAAAGATATGATTAGAGAGACTTGTGTGGCCTTGCTGGGAGAGAAAGATGGGATTAGAGAGACTTGTGTGGCCTTGCTGGGAGAGAAAGATAGGATTAGAGAGACTTGTGTGGCCTTGCTGGGAGAGAAAGATGGGATTAGAGAGACTTGTGTGGCCTTGCTGGGAGAGAAAGATAGGATTAGAGAGACTGGCCTTGCTGGGAGAGAAAGATAGGATTAGAGAGACTTGTGTGGCCTTGCTGGGAGAGAAAGATGGGATTAGAGAGACTGGCCTTGCTGGGAGAGAAAGATGGGATTAGAGAGACTGGCCTTGCTGGGAGAGAAAGATAGGATTAGAGAGACTGGTCTTGTTGGGAGAGAAAGATAGGATTAGAGAGACTGGTCTTGTTGGGAGAGAAAGATAGGATTAGAGAGACTGGTCTTGCTGGGAGAGAAAGATAGGATTAGAGAGACTGGTCTTGTTGGGAGAGAAAGATAGGATTAGAGAGACTGGCCTTGCTGGGAGAGAAAGATAGGATTAGAGAGACTGGTCTTGTTGGGAGAGAAAGATGGGATTAGAGAGACTTGTGTGGCCTTGCTGGGAGAGAAAGATAGGATTAGAGAGACTGGCCTTGCTGGGAGAGAAAGATAGGATTAGAGAGACTTGTGTGGCCTTGCTGGGAGAGAAAGATGGGATTAGAGAGACTGGCCTTGCTGGGAGAGAAAGATGGGATTAGAGAGACTGGCCTTGCTGGGAGAGAAAGATAGGATTAGAGAGACTTGTGTGGCCTTGCTGGGAGAGAAAGATAGGATTAGAGAGACTTGTGTGGCCTTGCTGGGAGAGAAAGATGGGATTAGAGAGACTTGTGTGGCCTTGCTGGGAGAGAAAGATAGGATTAGAGAGACTTGTGTGGCCTTGCTGGGAGAGAAAGATAGGATTAGAGAGACTTGTGTGGCCTTGCTGGGAGAGAAAGATGGGATTAGAGAGACTTGTGTGGCCTTGCTGGGAGAGAAAGATGGGATTAGAGAGACTTGTGTGGCCTTGCTGGGAGAGAAAGATGGGATTAGAGAGACTTGTGTGGCCTTGCTGGGAGAGAAAGATGGGATTAGAGAGACTTGTGTGGCCTTGCTGGGAGAGAAAGATGGGATTAGAGAGACTTGTGTGGCCTTGCTGGGAGAGAAAGATGGGATTAGAGAGACTTGTGTGGCCTTGCTGGGAGAGAAAGATAGGATTAGAGAGACTGGCCTTGCTGGGAGAGA